TCAATCTGCGGAATAAGCAGTGAGCACAATTCAGTTTCTACATTACGAACTTAATTGCACCGTGTACTTTCTAATGAGCTGATTTTACTCTGTTTTCGTGAAACCAGCGTAGACAATACGAAAACAAAAGCGTTATAGTCGTACGTATTTTTTTTTGGTTCCATTCATAAATACGTGTAAAATGCTAATTTTTTTTTTTTGCAAAATTTAGTTAATTTCGCAACACGTTATAGGTATGCGTATATTAGAATATAATGAATATTCTAAAAACGTTAATTAAATCTGCAATAATATTTAAACGAGTTGTCGTAGATATTATTACCGATTAAATCTAGGAAAAGATTAATAATGAGAATATCAGAATTGATTAGTGTTTAATCGCTTAATTAGTAGCAGTTAATTAACAAGCCTCCATTATTTATCGAAAAATTACATTTGGTAATTGACGACAGTATTTCACACTGAAGAATCATAGTAGTTTATTTAAAAAAAAAGACATTTGGCAATCAGAAAGATTGGTAAAATAAATTTTAGTTAGATTTCTTTTGGATTATTTGCTATAATAAAATTGAACACTTTTAAAACTATTTTAACTGGCGCTTGAATACGTCAAGATTTACACTTCTAGTAATCTGTGAATGTTATGATTTATTTGACGCCTCATAATTTATAACATTTGATTGGTATCGAGAGCTAATTTATTCCTCTAATTTCATTCGATAATTTTTTAATGAAACTATTTACGAGAAGTCCCGATTTCTAATTAGAATTTCGAACGCTGAAAAGTTTCTCCCGGTTTCTCAATAAAGTGTCATAAACTCGAGAGAGCGCCGGAAGTCAGACTGAAACTTGGGATTGCGTGGTGATTTGCTAAATCAGGAACACGTGCGGCATTCCACTTTTAACAAGTTCGCGATACACCACATATAGGAAATTGCTAAAAGGGAATTCTCTTCGATCTTCGCACAAGAAACCGATCCATTGAGAACGTTTTCAGAAGGAACTTATCGCTAAAACAGATACACCTGTATCAATTCTACGAATTCTGTAAATTCTAATTTAACGCAAAAAATCATCCGAAAATTTCAAAATTCAAGCTAACAATATTATTTTATTCTTAACCCTTTCGTTCCGACAGCTCTGAAACATTTACCCCATTGAGACATTTTAAGAACACTGTCGCTATTTCTATTATTACAACGAGTCTGAGGAGTTTTTAAAATCAAGAATGAGTATCATAAAAATAGAAAAAAATTTCACACTGTTTAATTGCACATCATCAAAGACGCACCAGCACCTGAAGTATTAAAATAAAACAAATTATCTTTCACTTATTTTCTAATAATTGAAGATTAAAAAAATTCTTTTCAACAATTAGTAGGACTTGAAAATATTGAACTAAAAATATTGTAAAACAGTTGTTAAGTAACATTTTTAAGAAGGCTTAAATACCATTATAATAAAACCTTTTCCCGTTAATTACAAAGACTTCAAAGTGTTAAAATAAAAATAACGCAATATTGATATCGAAAAGATTCTTATCTTCAAATTTTAATCACCGCCACTTGCGACCTTTTTCACCTTAAATTCGAATATTTCCCTCCAATCGATAAAACCCTCGAAAAGTGACTCGCGCGAGCGTAATGCAATCTACAGAATAATTCTCGGAACGCGGTCTATTCGATTGTCGAATTAAAAGTTCTCGGTTGCAGACGCAACAAGCGGACGGCGCGGCGGCTTTCAATTCTGAGCGGCCCGTTCGGTGAATGCGTGCTTTCGCGTGCGCGCACGTGCGTGTACGCGCGCGTCTCTCATTAATAATACAGTTATGCAACGAGGTTCGTGCGGCTGGATATTAGTATCTCGCCGCAATACCGTACGACGCCTGTATGAATTGGCTCCGATAAACGCAACGTTAAAGTTATGCGCTTTGAACGCCGCGCGCCACGCTCCCTTAAACGCTCCGGCGAAACAAGGAATCCGATTGTTCTGAACAGCGTTCGGGATCCTTTGCCGCCGACCCGTTCCCTCGTTCATTTCACCCAAGTGGCTTAATTTAATCGCGATTGAAATAGATAGGTCGGATTTGAATCATCGTTGTTTCTCATTGTCGTGATTTTTTGTGCGTAGAAAAATTGTATATATCTTTTTCTTTTCTTTTTTTTTTTTATGTAGTGACTTAAGTTGTGTTTGTATTTATACTTGGTTGTTAGTGATTATAACATATTCTGGACTATTTTGGACGGTAGGCTGGTTAGATTTGAGGACTTGATGAGGTTTTCTACTTTTTATTTGTGGAAGAGGACATTTTCCTTTAGGGGTGGTTCAATCTTGAAGAGTTTACACCGTGAAATTGGTTGAATTTGGCTCTAGTTTTGAGCATAGTGAATATTTCTACATACGGTAGATTATTAGGACGCTTATTTTTGGTATATGAAATTTATTATTTTTCGATCAAGTTTAAGATATCCTAAATTCAATATTTTTCGATAAACTTTAGGTCTCAGGTCATCCTAAATTTATTATTTTTCAATAAAGTTTAGGTCATCTTAATTTTATTATTTTTCGATCAAGTTTAGGTCATTCTAAATTCAATATTTTTCGATAAACTTTAGGTTTTAGGTTATCCTAAATTTATTATTTTTCAATCAAGTTTAGGTCATCTTAATTTTATTATTTTTCGAACAAGTTTAGGTCATCCTAAATTCAATATTTTTCGGTCAAATTTAGGTCACCTAAATTTAAGAAATCTATCAGAAATTTTACTTTATATTTATTTAAAAAAAATAGAAGCAGTGTTTCAATTTTCTTCCTAACTCATTACATTTATAATATAAGTAATACATTTTGAAGTAGTGAATTATAAATAATAAATTTAATATTGAATAATAAGTTTTGAAAGAAGAAGAAGAGCATGAAAAACGAGATTTAGTGATTCCAGAATCTTTACAATTATGAGACATAGTTTTATCAATAAAGGGCAATCATTTTATAGAGATGACATAATTGAACTACTCAAACGAATCAATCATTTCTGCGTTTCTTGATTTTCATTCGAATACCCGTATCAATTTTTCTACCTTTCAAGTCATTTTATTGTCTCTCATTTTTCATACAAATTTTCCACTCCTTTTGGACACCGAAAAAAAATCTACCAAGCGTATCTCATTAAAACGTTTACCTTCATACTGGCGTCATTAGAGAAAGTTGAATAATTGATTCGTGCTCGTATGCTTGTTCCATACATGGAATAGAACATTCTAAATAAGCGTTGATGGTTTTCGAAACGAAACAAAATTATCGTGTATCATCTTCGTTTTTATGGCCAGCGTACTTTCATTAAGAATAATTCTTAATTACGAGCTAGATTGCTGGTATTAAAATGTACTTCTTCTAATTACATTTAAATTAGAATTTTCTTGCGTGACAGAGATTGTAGAAACTTTTTGCTACTCGGTAGACGTATTCGAATAAATTTCTTACAAAATTTTCATTCAAGAGATTGTTTCATTTTATGGAGAAATACTAACTCGATGTAACAATATTTACAATTAAAATATTCATGTTGTTGATCGTTTCAGTCTACAATCATTCGTATAATAATATCGTCCAATCTTTGCTAGATTTGAATCGAAGATATTTCGTTATTTATTATAATTTCGTTCACGCACTGGTACGTTTTAAAAGTGAATTAATAGTAGGGAAAAATGAACGTTGTTTGGTAAGAAAATTATGACAACGAGAGATGAATGGAATGAAATTGGACGCAAGGATTTCTATTTCGAGTTCTATCTCGTTGCGTTATCAAAAGGGAGCGCGGAAATAATTAAGTAAGAAACAATTCTAACGCGAATTAAGTCCTCGACATACTCCGATGACCCTATCGAAATGCTGGCTACGATCCAGACCCGTTGAATGCTCCAAACGAGTTTGACACCGACGAAACTGATTGTGAGAAACAATCGGAACACTGTTACTGACGCGAACCATCCTCGGAATGTTTCTCGCAAGTTAGTGCTAAATAAGTACCGAGATTTGTTAATCGTCCTTAAACTAACCGATCAGCTGCGGTGTTTAATAAATATTGCTCATTCAGTGGGCTTGTTTGAACAAAATTTTCGTCGATTTAGATTGCAAACGTGATCTAGTCCAAATTTGAGTATTTTCTTTTTATTAAAATATATTATTTTGTACGATTTAACATTTAATACTTGAAATTATTGAAAGTATATATTGTGGTATTATTGTATTGGTGACTATAGTGAACAATCATTGTTTTACTCGTGAGATTGAAATATAATTTTCATAAAAGGATTTCTTGTAATACTTTTACTTGCTGCATGTCTAATTTGTCCTGTATAACTTATTCCCCAATTTGTGTATTTTTAATCGAATAGATAGAATTTGAAATATCTTTACTATACTTACTCTCTATGCCCTAATTTACGTATTTCTAATTGAAAAGGAGGAATCTAAAATATCTTCACCCCCCAAAATCTCACCAGCAAATTTCGATTTTCACTTCAAAAGTATCCTTAGATTCAATAAATATGTACATATTAATTTATTTTAATTTTAAGATAAACAATTTTTCACTTTTTCACGAATATTGTTCTCACTACCTTAAACCGAATCTCCCGAAAACGTTAGATAATGTTACTGTTCCAATCTTAAGCGAACAATAAATTTCCCAAGCTATCATTCAAAAATACCCACCACTCCCTTCGTACACCTCCATTCACCTCTGTCCCCCGAAAATCTCACGAACGAACCTCCACTTTCATCGAAATCTACCCAGGAACCACGCGATCATCCCGCAACAACCACCTCTCACATCGTTCTCCAATTTACCCGTTGAATCGCCGGATCCTAATCACCGCAACAGCCCCTAAAAACCTGGCTAACGGTTCCGAGTTGCAGCGGCGATACCCGCCGACAATCCGCAGACCTTGAACGTCACCGAGTGGCCTGTAAAACGGAATTGCGTCATTGTGTTACAGGCGAGGAAGTCGTAACCGTGCCTCCCGCGAGCGGAGGTCAGGACAGCTGGAAAGTGCAGAGGCTCTCCTCGTTGAGCGGTGAATCGCCGAGCAATCGTCGTAAAGGCTGTCGTCCCCAGCTGCAGCCAGGCAGTAAGCGTACACGTCCAGCGCCGCCTTCTCCGGCAATATCCTGCAAGGTCAATGCCAAGGACATCGACGACGAGTACCTCGACTGGCCGAACAAGGAGAACACGCCCGGAAATGCCGTGAACACCGGCGAGGGGGCGGAGATCGAGGCTGAGCTCGAAAGTGAACAGCAGCAGCCAATCATGGGTTCGAATTTGAGCCGACATAACGGGAAGGGCCTGACTGGCCGTAGAACACAATCGTCGGGGAATCTGTGCGATCCCAAGGGGAAATTGAACAGCATGGGGAAGATTTTGGTGCCTTGTTCGAGCGCGCAGAGAGAGAGGTGAGTTTTCGATCTGTTTTAAGTAGGATTACCATAGTTTTTCATTGGTGAATTGGGATAGGTGCGAGAAAGGAGGGAATGAAATTTTTTCGTAGAGGTTTTATTGTGGTAATTGAAAAATTATGTGAAGTGGAAATTGAATGTTAATATTGAAAGAGGAAATTATTAATAAATAGATTAGATTTTTGGATGCTGGCATTAATGTTACATTTATGGAAGATATTTTTGGTTAAAATTGAATGAGAAAGTTAGAGGAAAAATAATAAATAAAAAATGAAAATTAGATTCTTGGGTGCTAGCATTAATGTTACATTTATTGAAGGTATTTTTGTTAATATTGAACTAGAAAGTTAGAGGAAAAGTAATAAATGAAAAATAAAAATATTTGGCCAGTAATGGAATTAGATTCTCGTGTGCTGATGTGAATGTTACATTTATGAAAGGTATTTCTGTTAAAATTGAACGAGAAAGTTAGAGGAAAAGTAATAAATGAAAAATAAAAATATCGTGGCGAGTAATGGAATTAGGTACTTGAGTGCTGATAGTATTACTGCTTCAGTATGTCTAGCGTGCTTCTTGAAACTTTTATAAAAGCTTCCCTCAATTGTGAATCATCTCTGATTCACTTTGATTGAAATTATTCGTAAATGTACTGTGTTTTTGTTTAAATGCTAATTTAAAGCTGCTTAATAGCTTGTAATTGGATACATTATAATAACAAATTAGTATTGTAATCTGTTATTATCGATGAAATGAATTATTTCGTAATGCTTTGAATATTCATTGTCGTAAATATTATTATCGATGACAGATTATACTCGGATACGTTAACATAATAAATTAGCAGACTTTTTATTCAATTTCTCGCTTGAAACTTAACTCGATCAAATAATATTTCACGTTGCATAAAGTGTAACCATATTTTAAAATTTAGGACAACCAAAATTATTTCATTGATCGTGTAATTTCCTAATTAAATATTCGCCGTATAATAAATGCACAGAAGAAGATACTCGATTAATTATGAAAGAAAATTGTTCAAGCGACTCAAAGAACAACTTTCTTGAGACGATTCGAGTTACCATTATCGCGTAAATATCGCAGCAATTTTCTTCTGGAAAATCTCGAAAGTGAAGCTATTACACCGTATAAATCTTCGTTGACTCGAGAGCCAAGAAAGCAACGCTCCGCGAGAGTAAGTGATTTTTCGTGTTTCTAATTTCGTCGAGTTCTTCTTGCCCGGTACTAAGGAGCAAACAGAATTTAATTTACCGATGAAGTCGAAGGATACAAAAGATTCTCACGATTCGAGGACGATGAAAGGAGAGAGAGGTCAGTTCCCTGATCAATTCTTTCGCCAGGTAATTCCGAAACCGCCGTTTAACTCCCTGCTTCGAGTATACACTGTTGATACAATATTGGCCAAACAGGATGATTCTAATTAATATTCTGTCAATGTTTGAATTACGTTCGGTCGTGCGATGTAGATTTAACGTGCTTGTCAACTGCGTTTCGATCATGTCAGTACGAGAAGATCTCGTTGAAACGAAAGTTCATGAAACAAGTCGAACGTAGCTTCCAGCTGAAATTCAAAATTCCCGGGCGATTATTTTGGACTTTATACTTGGAACAGGGAAAAATGAAAAGTTTCACGAATATTGTAGTAAGATAACATTTTTCTAAATGTTTTTAAAAAATATTGAAAGAAATCGTTGTAATTAAAAAATTACTAAATTAACAGAATGTTTTGAAATTGTTATTTGTGGAAATTTAAAGGACCAAGTGATATGAATTTTCGATACTTTTGATTCGAACTTTATGAGTAAAAATTTGTAAAAAATTAATAAAGTTCATCATAAGGAGAAGTATATAGATTCGTTGGTTCTTTTCGATTCTGAAAGAATCGAAGGTAATATATACAGTCCCGTGTCTATTAAGCTGTGAACTACATGCATTACCGGCAGAGTTAAAACTCTAAACCGGAAGCGCGTCGTAATTAAATCCACCGGGAAGATGAGGCAGTAAAGATAGTCAGGCAAAACGAATGCCACGGTAGTTTCGCACGAATGGAAACCCCCTTTTGTCGTAACTACGAAATCCTTCTACATAATAAAACCTAACTATAATATGCCGGAATATGCAGATGCTTTTGACGATTAAACTAACAATGAAACTATGGAGAAAATGACACACACGTGCGAATATACAAAAAGTTGACAAATAAAATTTGCACTATGTCGTAAAAATTGAAACAATTCCTCTGTTCCTTAGAAATCTGAAAATTAAGAATTAGTAATTAACATAATTACCAAAAAAAGATTTCGAACACGTTGGTAACCATTATTGCATAATTAAAAAAATTCGTTTAAAGATTA